CCTGTAAAAAACAAATAGATAGCGGGGGTTTTTAACCCCCACAAACTGCAATGACCAAAAATAGCGATTAGCCCTGTGTTGTATATAAATATTTCGCGAGGGTGGCTTTGTGTTCGTCTGGATTCAACGGTTCCAACCATGGGTCTTAAGGGTTCTAATTTTGCCTGGACTGTAAAACCCCAAATTCACAGCATAAGAACCCTAGAATTCGTCCATGGCAACTTTCGATTCTGCGCATTATAATCCAATTAACTTATGCCATTAGCTTCATATGAGTTCTAACAATACAAAACAATCAATAAAATATGTTAATTATGCATGAAATAGCCAATACGATTCTGAACATAAGAAGCAAACCGTGGTCCTGTAACTAGTGATTCTTTGAGCTATGAAGCTGGAAATTGATTGCCAATCATTCTGGGAACCTCCTGCAGTGTATTGAAATCAACAAATGTCCTTAATTCGCCCTAGAATGCAGAAAACAGTTTTGAGTTTTCTTGGAAAATTTCAATATGCTATGGCCTTCTTGCAACAGCTTTTTCACGTATGCATGATTAGGGTTGGCTTATGTATATATAGGAGACTGAAATTAGGTTAAAATCTTGCACAAAAATCCATTGGAATGATGATTCAATATTTGATTGAAAATCAAATATTTTTGAATCTTTTTGATTGGAAAAAGTTGCCAAACTTGGAGATTTTGGCATATTTGATTTGTGCACGAATTTTCCAGCATATCTTGACCACATTTGCTTCACAAAAAGATTGAAAAATCAAATCTTTGTATTTCCTACAATTTAAATTAATTAAATGAATTAAAATCAATTAAAAATCCAATTAATTAATAAAAATAAGAAAATAATTTCAAATAAGCTTGATGGGTCGTGCATAGGCAATGGATAAAGTTTCAAGTAGAAATTTGAGGCCCATTAGTAAAAACAAGGTGTTTTGAGCAAAGTTGACTTTTGCAAATTCATGAAAATTTCCCAACTTCTCCAATGCATATCTTGCTCAATTTTAATCATATGAACATGTTCTTGGACATTTTGGGAAGATCTTGAAGTCATCTAACCAATGCCTTTGGTCCCATGTCATTTGGATTTACCAATATCAAGTTATGGTCTTTGACTTAAAGTGCATTTTTGTTGACTTTTGAAATTGACCTATAATGTAGAAATTGATAACTTTTTATGAGAGCATTTATTGGACTTAGAATGTGAAGATTAGTTGTAGGGAATGCCATCCCCTTCAAAATGAGCTTTGGATGGGATTTTTCTGATGAACCATGAAAAAGTTATGCCCTGGTCAAGATACACTTGACTTTTCTACTGTCCCAAAATAGTAACTTTTTGCACCTTGATGATTTTTGAATTATCCTTGTGGAATCATGATCAAGACTTGATCAAATGATGATTGTGAGCTCAAAACAAGATGTTAACCAAAAATTCTGACTTTTGACTGCAAAATGACCATTTTACCCCTGCAGTTGACTGTAGGTCAAATGGAGCTTTTGACTGTGCAAATTGACACTGTGAATCTTGAAACTTGGCATGTAAGTGCTTGACAATGTATATAGGCGTATGGAACTTGATTGAACCATTGAAAACCTCAAATTCCTTGAAAGAACCAAAACCCTAATTTCAGCTGGCTTAGGAGGTGGTTTGACTGTGCAACCTCTTGAGCAATTTTGAACCATGTGAAGATTATTCTTGACAAATCTTGAGGAATATGGGAGGGCAAATTTTGGGGTACAACACTTTCAAACAAAAGCAAGTGATCTAGCAACCAACTAAGAGCCCGTAGATGACTACGGATGGAAAGGATGCTAATACATTCTCTTTTCATAATCTACCCCCCGAACTCAAATAATATCGAAAGGTCTTTCCTGTTTTTTTCAGCCTTTCCTTATTGGATAAAATAAAAGTCGGTGGCGACTCTTGCTAACTGCAACATTTGTGATAAAATACAAAACACCCAAGTCAGTTCTCCCACCGCATTACACAACGAATTGGGGGCTCCTGTTCTGGACTGGGCATGCACTTGGCTCAAACATCATACAAGGCCCAATCCAACTATGCTACATGAGAAGGCCAGCAAGAAAGAGTATGCCCTCGACCATGTCGGGTAGTGATTCCACTCTTCTGGTCGACCAGGCTTTCTCCTATGGGGATAAACCCATGAATGGCGAGGAGGACCAACGACGGTCAAAAGGACCTCGCGAGCATCCTCCACTCTTGTAGTCGACCAAGACAAGTCCTCCGGGGACAACCTCACAACTGGCGAGGAGGACCAATGACGGTCAGAAGGACCTCGCAAGTATCCTCCTCGTAGGGCTGACACTCAACACCTTTGAATGTTATAGAGTCCTTTTGACCCAAAAAATACCGCATCCATATCCTCTTGATAGTTTAGAGGAGTCCATCTAGGCTGGGGACCACGTGCTGGCCCCCACTACATGTGTAGGACCTGGGAATCTCCATTTTGGGCCTGCTTACTCAGCCCAGCGATGGGGACCTTGGCCCAACACTGGAGGCTATAAATATGCTCTCACTTGAAAGAGTCAGGTGTTCATTCACTTACTCATACTCTCATACATGCTTGCACTTGCTCTGAACCTTTCTTCGGCATGAGAGTGTCTTGCAGGTACCCCTCACTTCACATTTAACTGATGCTCGAATTAAAGCTTGGGGCTTTGACAATCTCTTCTGATCAAGTATGATCACATAGCAATAACAAAATTGCTAAAAAATCAGCACAAGCAATCACTGAAATGTATCTCCAGACAAGTTCATTGCGCTTCTGGAAATATACTCCAAGTATAAGTGTGACCTTTTTTTACTGAAAAACCAGATTAATGTAATGAATGAGGTTTAAAATGAATTAACTTTACCTTAAATTTCACTTCCTTTAGCTCATTTTGATATGATGAAACACAAGAATGAAGATTTTGAGTGAAAAACTTGATTGAGAATGGAAGAGTTTTCGCATAGCGTGATCATGTTGGTTCATGCTGGTTGTTGTTTTTAGCAATTTGACTTTTGATTTTTTTCCGGGAATAAATCTCCGGATTTCCCGCACTAATTTACCGGATATACATCTCTGGTCATATCCCTATAATGGTTATGAATCAATTAATTATATTATAATTCTGGAGATATATCTCTAGAACTTTTCTTAATCACCATATTTAGTCGCGTTTGTGTAGTGTGAAGGGTGCATTCGAAAATATACTTTCAAAAACAGAAGGACAATTTTGAATTTTCATAGGATTTTTTTCACTTATATAGGGTGCAATAAGAAATTCCCAAAAAATCATCAAAAAAATTAGTTTCTATTTCATATACAACCCGTAAATCCAACCTAATTCGTAAATGATCAAGTTGATTCTGATCGATTTTGATTGTAAAATTACAGGTGAGAGAATAAATCCAACTCATTAAAATTTGAATGAATTGAATAATGAATTAAGTCAAACTCGATCCAACCTATTAGTGTATACTCATATCCCATCTAAATATACAAAATACTTTTTTAAAACCCAGCTAAGAGGGCGAACATTTACAAAAATGATATAATGAAAAAATAACATAAAAAATTAATTTATCTTTTTAGAGATGCAATTTAGTGGAAATGTCATAAAAATAATAAACTATAAATTAGTTCAAACAAAAAATTTAATAAAAACTATAAACTATTAATAGAAAAACAAGTTTATGAAAAACAAAACTTATATCAAATAAATATATATTTATCATACAAGCATACTGCTTATACTTATGCTCACAATTTTCATAGTCTTACAATAAGAAAAAAGGAGCACTCAAACAATAGAAGCTTAGAATAGAATACAAGAAGTACGGTTGCATTTGTGTAGAATGGGAATAGGTTAGGTTGGGCTGAATTAGACTTTATCAAATTTGAGTATGGCCTACTAAAAGTTTCAAAGTTTAAGTTTGGTTTTTTGGATTGTCATAAACTTATTTTTTAGTCTGAACATGTCTTTTCGAAGATCTGACTAGTTTATTAACCTGCTTAACAAGTCTATATCATTTGAAAATTTGTAAATAAGAAATTCAACTAATACTTAAATATACGAGAGAATCAAAAGTACAATGAGACAAAATATTTATTCACATTGACTTATTTAAGCTTACATATTAGTATAAATTTTGTGAAATTATTTGTTTGGGAGAATTCATGAAAACAAATTATGACATTATTCATAATGCTTTTTCAACTTTTTTTCACAAGTTCTTTAAAATAACTAAATTTTAGTTTTGTATTTTAATATAAAGGACAAAAAACATTATAAAAAAATAATAAATTTATTCATATTATTAAAATACCTCTGCCTGACAGACTTTTTTAAAGGTCTGTAGTCTAATCTATTTAACTAAATAGACTTATAAAAAAACATAAGTCTTTTCTACTTTAAAAAAAACCTACTTGATCTTAACTGAATAAACAGAACCTGACCTCTATTCAATAATTCCATTAGCATTGTTTTAAAACAAATAAACAGAACCTTGAACCTATAAAGCACATACACGTCAAATATGACCCCAACACGGACACAACAACACCGTTAATAATTTGAAAAAATAAATTAAACATAAACACAAATATCGATGCAGTCCGACAAATATCGATGCAGTCCGACATTGACACTGATACGTGTGTCACCGCTAATAATTTGAAAAAATAAATTAAACATAAACACAAATATCGATGCAGGTGTCCGACATTGACACTGACACGAATACGCTTTATTTCAGAGATGTCGGTGCTACATAAACTTTAACTGAACATAGAGATCTATCTGATATCACAAATATAAACTTCCATTAATATTAATCATGTGACAAAAAACTATATGAAACTGAAATTATGTTAATATATATATGAAGAACAAGGAAGCATCTTCAGTACCAAACGTTCACAAATTCTCACAAGTGCAAAACAAAAAAGACCATTTATGTTGATGTAAGAACAAAACATCTCTAAGTTCTAAAACTAAATGCACCCCATCTCCTTCTTCCTTCCTTCTTCATCTTCAACGAGTTTGAATCAATAAGCTTTTCAAGAGATTTTCCCTTTCTACATCGAACTCTTCCCGCTTCTTTCAAAAGCTCAAACAATCTTTTCTTTTCTTCATCAACATCTGGATTTGCAGTTCCAAGTTTTTCTTCTCGCATTTTCAGTATGTATTCCAATATCCGAATCGCATCTTCAACTCTGCAACAAAATAATATTAAAGACAATTATTACCGATCTCGACATACCAATCAATCGTTTAATTGATAAATGCATCACATTTTTACCTTCCTAATGCATCATAAGTTGCGGCAAGGTTGCTATACACTCCAAGAGTGTCCAAATGATAGTTTCCACATTCCCTCTCCAATATCTCTCTAGCTTCTTCAAAATGTGCAGCAGCCTCTTCTATTTTATAGAGCTGAACACAAACCAAGCCCATCTGATTCAACACAAATCCGAAAAATGCTGATTTCCTCTCCCCGCCGGCTCTCAGCTTGACGACAGCATTATCAAAAGATTTCCAAGCATCCACATGCCGTCCGACCATGTAGAACAGCACTCCCATTTGAGCTTCTATTCCTGCCACTGTCCTATATTGTCCAGGGATACCCTCCAACAGTTTCACCGCCTTCTGCAAGAGCTTCAACGCGTCCTCGGGCTCGTTCAGAGCTTCGTAGATTGCCGAGATTTCGGTCAAGCCACTCGCAATCTCTCCGGCGGTTATTCCAGGTAAGGGCTTGCTATATATTCTCAATGCGTTTTCACAATAAGACATTGACTCTCTTAATTTTCCTGTCTTGAAGTAAAGATCCGCGAGACGAATGAACACTAAAGCAACAGAACTGTGGTTTTCACCCTTGGTGGATTTGAACACTGTAAGTGCTTTCTGATAGGAGAAAACGGCTTCGTCAAAACGACACAGCGACGAGTAAATATCACCGATACTAACATCAATAGCTGCAACCTCGTTATCTTGTCTGTTAGCAATCATTGACATGCTGGCTAGGACAAGATGCTCGAGTGCTGGTTCGTAATCTCCCTTTGCTTCACAGATAAGGGCCATGAGACGCCTGTCAGCTGCTTCGGTGAGGGAAGCGGGTGAGCAATGCTCCTTATGAATTTCAAGTGTCTTCTTGCAGAAGTGCTCTGCGTCGTCGAATTGCATGGCTTGAACATGAGCTTCAGCTAAGTATCTGCTATCCATGGTAACCAATTAGTTAGAAAATATTTCGGCACCTTATCGAATGAATGTTATGAAACATCGACACCTCTAAAAATAGGCATGTCACACACGTCTGTCATGTCTTAGTGTCTGTGTCTGAGTTTATACTTCTTAGCATAGCATGTATGTCCTAATCCAAGCAAATAGCTAACTACTAATAAACATGCATTACATTGTACTATGTTGTATAAAAGTGTTAAATTTACCTGCAAGTTTCTGCAACTCTCGGGTCAGACTTACCCAAAATACCCATTTGGATCTTCAAACCCGATTCATAACACAAAATGGATCTATCCAACCTTCCAGTCATAGAATAAGTATCACCAAGTTGCATATACCCAGAAAATTTCACCATACCATGACCCGACCCATTTTCAACATCCAACAACAAAATTGACCGTTCCAATTCCTCAATAGCCTCATCCAACTTCCCCAAACTACAATAAATCGCAGCAACAACATGCAGACACGTGGCAAGATCCAAACCCGGACCCGAAACCCGTTCAAAGGATTTTGATGCCCGAATTGCATAATCCAAAGCCTTACCTGGATTCTCACCAGCAGCTATGGTATCTCGTGCCATCTTTAGAAGAAATGGACCCAAATCAGGGTTTTCTAGGGATGATTCATCCATGATCAGTGTCTTTTTTATTGTTTTCTTCGTCGCCGGTGATGGGTTCCGGTGATCTTCGCCGTTGGTGACCTCATTTTGCGGTGGTTCACGGAGGAAAATTCCAAATGATTGCATGTGAGGTGGGGTTTTCACTGTTAACCCTGTCATGATTTAAGATTCAATACCCATAACTCAAAATTGAAACTTTCTTCATACCCATGATTCAAAGTTGAAAATTTGTTCATACCCACAATTCAAAATTGAAACTTTCTTCATACCCATGATTCAAAATTGAAAATTTGTTCATACCCAAAATTCAAAATTGAAAATTTATTCATACCCATGAATCAAAATTGAAACTTTTTTAATACCAATGAATCAAAAATGAAAAATTCTTCATACCCATTATTCCAAATTGTTTTTTCAAAAAAGGGAAAATTTCTTATGTAATTTGAGTATGCCCCATGTTTCAAAATTCTAGGATTTGCATGTGTACATATATTTACATTGAAGAAGTGTGGTAGAAGAAAGGAAATGACTCAAATGAGTATATAGAAGTGAGTGTGAGAAGAAAAAGAGAGTGAGAAAGGAAAAAAGGTGGAAGAGAAATGGATTAGGGATGGTAGTAGTGGAATGTTGCTTGGAAGAGACGACTTGTAATAATAGAGTTGGGATATTTTAATTTCAGAACAAGCTTCACAAGGAAAAAAGGCAAGAAGAGAGTCACAAAATCCATGATGTTTTTTTTGGATTGAGTTTGGAGTTTGAGAAAATTTATGTTCCAATTTTTATTGTCTTTCAATTTTATAGTACTCCCTCCTATTCCTACTATAAGAAAAAAAAAACCCTAAAATTTTGGTCATTTTTTATAAAGTAAAAGTTATTAACTTTTAGATTAATTAATGTGATATCACTATTATACTTTTAATTTAATTTAAAAATATTTAATATTGATAGTTTATTTATTAAATATAATTAAAAACATTATAGTAAATTTTATTTTGATTTAACATAAAATTTAAAAAATTAATTATATTTAATTAATTTTCTTAATCAGGATAAAAATAATTATTTTAAATTATAATTATGATTAGAAGGAGAATGGTTTTCTTTTCCGATAAGAATGAAGCATGTAGGACTAGTTGTTGGATCCAACTACCTTTTATTTCTTCTCACTTTTTGTTTTGTTTGTTTTTTTGGTGAATAAAAAGAAATTGTTTCTAACACTTTTTCTTAAAGTTTAGTATGAACTTACTCAACATGTGAAACTTTTTTTTTTAATAATGATTTAGAGAAATTATAGAGCATATGAAATATGAATGCTTGGCAACAAAGTTTTCATTTCAAAGTTGTATTCGTTGCTAAGGAAAAAAACTACTATCATATAATGGGGTTATGAGTGAACAAACATTAGTGCACAAATGCTTTGTGATTAAGTCTTCATTATTTAGTAAGATCTCAAGTATTTATGTCTGTTTGGAAAAATTAAGTTGTTAAGGACTTTAGTTTCTCCTTTTTACTACCTGTGAATCATTTAGATACATGAAGGATAATAAATACATATAAGAATGCTAGGTTTGCAAGAGCTGCCGAATTCTTATGAAAGCTTCAAGATCAAGATGAAGAGGAGAAAAGGCACGTGAAGACAGGCCCACTATAAAGACTTTCAATAATAGCTTTTTTTTCTTTCAGTTTTTTAGGTAAGAACTTTCAAAGGAAAATAAAAGTTAGCAGATTTATTAAAATGACACCAATATTCTCTAGTTTTAAAATATATATATTAATGTTCTGAGTTTACATAAATCATCGGAAAATTTTAATAATAAATAAAAAACTGTAAACAAATAGTATCATTTATATTTATGGTTTTTATCTATCACTAAAAAATAAAAGGTAGTTATCATTTTAATAGTTTTTAAAAAAAAATTAATGTTTATTTTCAAACTAAAAAGAAAATGAGGAATTTTTTTTCTAAATAATCATTTTTTTTTAAAATTCCCAAATAATCATATTTTCAAAAAGTTTACTAAAATAATTATTTTTTAAATAAAAGAAAATTCGCGACACAAAAGAGGCGTCACTCTATGTGGCGCATGTATACAAATTAAAGAGGATGCGTCACACTGCATGACTTGTCTTCCTGTGTAATGTCATGCAGTGTGGCACATATGCAATAATAGAGAGGAGGTGCCACCTTGTGTAACTTGACAGTTGTATTTATTAATTTTTTTAAATAAAAATAAAAGTAACTAAAAATATTTTATATTACACAATGCATGAATATATTTTTTTCCGGACGTCCCATCAACCTAAGTGGGTTCCAGTATGACATAAACGACCCCACCTTTACCTCACCCCTTGCCTAACTCCTCTTTGTTGATTTTTCTGAGGTGTTTGGGGTTTGTTCTGACTCGCTCGATGATGAGTTGTTTGATGTGATGGTCCTGGTACATTAGGATCATACATCTCATCGATCATTTTGCCCCACTGCGTGTGCTTCCAAAGAGATCGGTGTCCATGTTGTTGAAGTTTGATCTTGTTGGTTACGATATGTGTGGGTGAGGTGGTTGATAGTGTTGGGATGTTGAATCGTGTTGAAAACGAAGCAACGATTCTTGTGGTGTATGAAATCTGTATGATGGTTGGGTACTTCGACGATGTGATGTTTGACTGTATGTAGGTTGGGTGGTATGGTAGGAAGGAGATATATCATATGTATCTTGGGTGTTGTGGTAGAATGTGGAGGGTGCATATTGTCGTTGGTGGGTTGAGTCATGCTCTTGGTATTGTGTTTGTGTGTGTGGCATGAATTGATGACGTGTTTGGTTGGAAGTGATCGTGTATGGTTGTTGGGTTTGAGTGGGTTGACATTGTTGTTGGGTTTGCTATTGATGAGGGGTTGGATGTTGGGGTTGTTGTTGGGCGTATGATGCAACTCTTTGACGTGGGTCGATCAAATATGTCTTATGAGATAGAAAAAAATTTGTTGAAACCGATGTGTACCATGTCAAATATTGGAGAGTTGGTTTTAAGTTAACTTGCGAGATCGGCTCCCTTAGGACCAATTCACGTCGATGCCTCCATTGACGACATTGATTTTTAGCAAAGTCTCTCAAATCATTAAATTCCCATTGGTCGTCAACTCTGAGTAGATGCCATTGTCCTAAACATGTAGGGGGTCTGGGATACCCTGTTGCATGCCGAACTATAACTTCACGCAATCACTGTGGTGCATCTCCACAGTAGTGAACCTGATGAGCGTTATTTTTACAGTCCAGACTTCAGCATCTGCTGGGTTAATCTCATGCTCGAGATCCTTATACGGCCTCCATACAAACTGTAGAAGAAAAAGAGTGTTAAGCTAATATTAATATTAAACTTAATTAACCTATTGAAAGTGTTGTATAAAATATGTAAGTTTAATACCTCTTTTGGTCCAACATGATCAATAAGATTTTGATAGACTACTATTGAGTTTCTAGGGGATTTATTGTAATTCATCCCAGGAACATACCACCTACATAAAAAAATTTGGTAATAAATTAATACATGTTGGTTATAGTATATAGTATGTAAAAATTATGTTTTCTTAATCTTACTTTGTAGCAAAGAGGAAGACGAATGGCCGTGTGTTGTGGGGGGCGAGTGTCGGCATTCTCGACCAGCACCATGTCTGGAGCAAAAAGGCGCAGGAATAGAAATAACATTTGTCGTTCGATGCATTTTTACACAAGGAACTATACAAATGGGCCAAAACAGCAGAGCCTCAATTAGATGTGTTTATTTTATCAAAATTTCTTAACAAAGGTAAATACATGATATTAATAGTATTACCCGTTGTTTCAGGAAATAAAAAATGGACAAATAATATCATTATGTAACACCGAGCTTTCACAATTTTTTCTTGCTCGGTAGAGTTTTTGGATCGAGACTACTATGATATTCTCTAAGAAGACAGAGATTAATACCTTGGCCTCTAGACCCTTGTTCAAATTAATAGACTCCCAAAAGTTCATCTCATATGGCGTTGTCTTGGTTGACTCGTCCACTGACAGTCTTACCATCGATCGGTAGACCGAATAATATGTACACATCCTTTAGTATGACAGTACATTCACCACATGGAAGATGAAAGGTGTGAGTTTCGAGTCTCCATCTTTCTAATAATGCGAGAATAATTTTATAGTCAGCATGGTAATTGACTATGTTGAGTAACAAACCAAAATCGGCGTGTTGCAAGTACGGTTCAATTTGTACAACGTAAGGGACATACTCATGAACACGAAAACAAAATCTTTTAACATCCTATTTGTGATACGGTGGGAGAACTGACTTTTTGTTTTGTGTTTGATCGCAATGTTGCGGATAGTAAGAGTCGCCACCGACTTTTCTTTTATCCAATAAGGAAAGGTGAAAAAGCACATGAAAGACCTTTAGAGTGTTTTCTTGAGTTCGGGGGGTAGATTATGAAAAGGGAAAGTGTTAGCACCCTTTTCATCTGTAGTTATCCACGGGCTCTTAGTTGCTTTCTAGATCACTTGCTTTTGTTTTGAAATGTGCTTTGTGATGTGGGTTTTGAAAGTATTTTGAAAATGTGACTTTGTAATGATTCTTGTCTCTATAAGAATGTGTACAAAGTGTTGGTTTTGAAAATAGTTCAAAGAGATGTGTTGGTGTAAAAATGTTTTTGTTGTGAGCAAGCGAGCAACTAGGAGCGAATCTACCTACTCAAAAAGGTCTTAGATGCTATTTTCCTCTTCCTTTAGATGTTTCTATCTTACCATTAATTTGGTAAGAAGCCCCATCGTTGGATGTGAAGGGACGGGCGCAGGACGTTTTCGTATAGTCATAGAAGGCAACCCATGGAACGTTTTAGCAATGTCGTGTGAGGGACTAGATCGTTTATCAAAGGCAACATCGAGGGTCATCGAGGGACTACGATCTTTTATCGAGGGTCTTTTTCTAAAATGCCCATGTTCGAGGTACATGACTATTTTTCCGATAGGCAACAAGGTGGAATTACCCTAAGGGTGCTAGTGTGCAAGTGTGTTTGATTGCATGTATTTTAGTTTTGACTAGGGTGATCTATTTGTTGATTTCATATCTTGCCATACACATCCTAATTACTAGCATTTTATATTTGGAAAAGCGTTAAATTGCGGAAATAT